TTTGTGAGTCAACTGCTCCAGCACCTTCCTGTATTCATCATTGTTGAGCAGTAGCCCACAAGTTAGTGGGCAACTTCCTTTGTACAAGTTTGGGCATCCATGCCCATCTAGAACCATTTAGTTCTAAGCAGATTTGTCTATAGCCATTTGAAGTATCATAATCATGGGGGATGGCTATGTAATTGTTAATCCTTTTTCTTCTTGAAGTGGAAAATTGATTATTGACTTTTGGAGGGGACTGCTTAGTGTTTTGACTGTGGTTGGTCTTATTGGTTGATTGCCAACGGGTTCTTGGGTTTTGATGGTTGGGAAGTTTTTGTCTATACAGGAGATTGGATTTTGATTTGGGAGCAGGCAGGTTCCTTCTTATGGGAACATTCTGAGAATGGGATCTTTGGTAGATTAGCTTTCTTGTATTTTGTTGGTGGCTTGTGGAGGGTGAGTTTTGAGTGAGTCTGGTGGGGGATACATATCCCAGGCCTCTTCTCTTCTTATTTAAAACAACTTCAGCAGTAGAGTCACTGGTTTTACTAACCATGCTGAAGTTATTCATTTTGTCTCTCAGCTCTTTGTTCTCTTCTTCTAAGACATTGTTTTTGGTTAAGGCATCTAGCAATCTTGTGTGAACAGCCTTAATGTCTTGTTTTAATCTATTATTTTCTGATCTTAAGAGAACATGGTGATTTTGGACTTTTTGGAAATCTTGTAATAAAGATTCCAGAGTAATATTGGTTGGTCCAGAATCACTAGAGCTATAGGAAGAGCAGGATGTTACCTCAACATCATTGTAGTGGTCTCTGGCCATTAGGCATTTAGTGGAGCTGCATTCATCATCTTTACTGAGCCATCTGCTGCTTTCTTTAGTGAGCCAGCTGCCGCCTTTTTCAGCCACCTGCCAGGATCCCAGGCATAGAAGTGCTTCCTCTGAGCTTTCAGATGAAGAGCTTTCATCACTTGAGCTGCTTTCATCTTCAGACTGGGGTTCCTCCTTTTTCTTTTCACTTACAAAAGCTTGTCTATTGCTTTTGAAGTCCCTCTTGTAACTAGCTTTGGGACCGGTCCCCTGCTGCCCTTGATACTTCTGGGCTAAGGGCAGAGGGCATTCATTTTTGTAATGTCCTGGCTGTCTACAGTTGTAGCACATAACAGTCTCCTCACTGGATTGAGGTCTCCCTTGTCTTCTAGGTGGCAGGTTGTATGCTTTCTTTGGAGCAGTTCCCTCCTTCTTCATGAATCTTTTAAATTTCCTCACAAACATAGCAAACTGTTCGTCAGTGAGGAGATTATTGAGGGATTTTTCAGCAGATTTTGAAGTGCTTGGCTCAGACACTAGAGCTAGTGTCTTATATTCATCTTCCTTCTCTTCTTTGATCTCCTTCATTTCAAATTCATAGGCCTTGAGATCACTAAAGAGTTTGTCGGTTGACAGAGTTCTGAGATCTCTGCTATCTCTCATAGCAGTTACCTTCATGTCCCATTTTGATGGCAGGCCTCTCAAGACCTTGAGTGAAATCTCCTTTTGAGATAGTTCTTTCCCAAGGTCAGAGACCTCTGCTACAATCTTCAGGAATCTGGATTCCATTTCATGGATAGATTCAGTTGACAACATTTTGAAATCCTCAAATTTCTTGAGGGCTATGGTCAGTTTATTGTCCTTCTCCTGTTCATCTCCTGCTCCAATCTTTGTGAGCTCATCCCAGACATCTTTGGCAGTTTCGCATTTCCTGATTCTGGGAAATATAGATTCATCAACAGATTTGAAGAGAATGTCTTTGGCAATGTTGTCAAGATTGTTTCTCTTCCTGTCCTCAGTTGTCCATTCCATTTTGGGTTTTGGAATGTACACATCATCTGTTCCTTCTGTGGTTCTGGATGTGATGACCTTCATTATTTTGATAGGTCCATCAGTAATGACTTCAAGCATCTCATCGTGTAAAGCACTGAGATGTGCTCTCATCCTTATTTTCCAGTCATCAAATTTGTTCAAGTTGAACAGAAGATTCTTGGCTAACTGACTGTCCATTTTTAGAAAGTGTTTGGGAGGTAGAGTGGTTTGGATCTTTAGTTCAAATTAATCAGAAACTGACTCTAGGAACACAGGGCTCTGATACCACTTGATGGTCCCGGATAGGGTAAAAGTCTAGAGGGGGGGGGGTGAATAGACTTTTAAATCTTTTTCAACTTTATGAAGTTTTCCCTCTAGATGAATTGATCTATAATCTTTTGAGAGATTAATAGATGCACAGCGGAAGTCTTTACCCTTTATGTAATGAGTGTTTGACCACTTTCTAATTTTGGGAAGATTGGACTTAGATAGCTAGCAGTTGGCTTGGCAGTTAGCTTAGCAGTTGACTAGGTAGCAGGGAACTGCTGAGGCAACTGCTAGAGAAATATTGATTTTATGATGAAAAGTGATGGTGAAACGTTGTTTAGAACACAAGAAAGATGTCTGAAAAAGTACTTAAGTAAGGTTAAGATGAAGTTTAACTGTAGCAGTGGTCTTGGCAGTTGGGTGATACAAAGGGAACTGCTGAGTCACCTGCTTAGGTTATAAACAGATTTTCAGAGATCCTTTTAAGCAAAACTTCGTGTGATGATGTTATGAGGATCTGGTGATGTTGAGTTGTTTAAAGGAAATATACGTATGTGAGCAGGGAGCTCGGCAGTTGGGTGGTACTGAGGAGACTGCTGAGGCACCTGCTATACTTTGAAAGTGAATTTTCGAGATCTGATAGAACAACCTTTTTGATAATGCTTTACCAAGTGAACTGTATGGAGATAGCCTCAAAGAGAGTGAGTAATTAAGCAGAAGGATAAGCAGTTGGGTCAATTAAGACAACTGCTTAAGATGCTGCTGGCAAACTACAATCTTTATACGAGAAGTGCTGGGTGTGTGTTTTGTTGAATGAAGTGAAATCAACACACGATGTATCCTGGTTCAGAGGTGGTGTAATCCTCCTACGTCCAGTCCCATTCTCTTTCAAATGGATTTCCACTAAAGTATTCAGCCCAATACACTTAGTGCCAATCTAGCCTTTACAACTCTTAGGCCTAGATTGAAGGTTTTTCACAATGAGTATAACACCACTCAAAGTTACTCAGTCCTTAGACTTTTCTCAATTGATCCAGTGGGGATCAAAAGGTACTCTATCTATCTAACTACACTTTAGGATCCGAACAACTGTTCTCCTAAGTGTTTACAACCACTTGTGAAATGTTACAAGAAAGTTCTAACCTCCAACTAAGAGCTAAGCTCTAAAAATGTAAAAGTATTGATCTAATCTAAGAGCTTAGTGAAGCATGAGGCTAAGCAGAGAGTAAAGTTGAGTTTGCACTTTCTCTTTTGCTAGATATCTCGTATATGCTTTGATGAAAGTTTTTCTCTACTTAGGATGCTCAAGCTTGTCTTCGAACTCATGCTTCTACCTATATTTATAGGCCTTCATGGTTGATTAATCTCATCCGTTGGTTGAGATGAATTAATCTTTGACGTTGAAATTCTGATTAGTACGAGTAGTACTCTTGTCCTGTTGTGCTGGAGCATTAATTTGTAGCTGATCATTTTGTCTTGCATTATGTGTGCGTCCCATGCTGCTGCTGCTTCACTCCAAAAGGACGTCCCATGTTGTAGGACCATGTACGTGATTTAGCATTTAATGTTGGTCAAGTTCTGTCTTCCAATCATACACATTCAGTGTATGATATCCGAGTGCCAAAAATATGTGATAGTTAATCTTTGAGTTAAATAATATATTCCGGTAGGATCTAAATATCCCTTTAAGGTAAAAGAAAAAATTACCTTATTGCATTTTTTCTTTTCCGGTAATATGTCATTAGACTCAAAAGATTGTACATTTATGTTGTCATTTTTGATTAAATTAAAGACTAGTGACTGAACTTAATTAAGATACAATGTGCTAGTGTAGAGTATAGTGGCATCATCAAAATCTATCAAAATTGGGTACTAACAGCATGCATTAATAATCCAAGTTTACTACCATGAAAGGACCAAATTAATAACAAGCGTATTAATCGACCGATTCTAGTATTAATTAATATATGAAACAAAACTAGTTGATCCTTTAAGTAATGTTCAAAATATTAATATGAAATATGAATAGGAATTAATTAATACTCAAGAAAGAATATTAAAGAAGATGAATCCTACTATAGTTAATATCAAGATGTTAACTAATTGTCATCTTAGTAACACTCCCCGATATTAACGTAGAGGAAGAAATAACTATTACTATAACTAATGTCAAGATGTTGACTAATTGTCATCTTAGTAACACTCCCCAACATTGATATAGAAATAGTATTTAAAGGAAGAATTAATATTCAAGGAAGAAGATTAAAGATAATAACTCACAACTTACAAATTCATTAAGCTTCAAAGGAGCAAAACCAAGATGGAAGAGTTTAGCTCCTCATTTGGAGACTAAACATACTATAAAAATATAAAAGAAATACTATTCTAAACTGAGCTTAAGAGTATGGAAGAAGGGATGTTTAAAAGTGAAGGAAAATGGGGCTATTTATAGGTGTTTTTCAACACCTTTGGCCGGGTACCCGACCGGGTAAAGTGCCCATCCGACCGGGTGCATGTCAAAATCAAATATCCTCCACGTTCTGGTGATCTTCGGCACGTTCTGGTGTTCCGGGTCAAGTCGGACCCGACCGGGTGAAATACCTCACCCGACCGGGTGATGTAATTTCCTGAGCAGTTTCACATTTCAATGTCTCACCCGACCGGGTGCAATACCTCACCCGACCGGGTGATTTGTCCTGGGCAGCCAAGAATTATTTTTTCTTCACATTCAAAGTCTTCCTTTCCAACACCATAAATCCTAACTCTACTTTACAACTTACAAATGAGAACTAAAATACAATTACAACTAAAATCACACAAATGTTTACAAACTAAATAAATTGGTAAACAATCCACACAAATCAAACATAAAAAGACACATTTATGCACTACTAATTAGTGCATATCAGCTACCTCGCCTGCCCGACATGTCACAAAAAGTTGGTGGCAGAGGATGAGAGGTTCAGGTGTTTAACTTGCAGTGTAACACTACCAGATGGAGTTTATCGGTACAATACTATCCCTCTTGGTGAATATGTTGTTTTGAATAGGGTTAGGGTATCGGTCTCCAAAAAACTCACTGTAATTTTTAAAATGTTAAGCTACAAGGTGAGCGTGTGTATCATGGACACAACCGGGCATGGAAATTTTGTTCTCTGGGACAGGGAGTGCATAGAGATTTTTGGGAAAACATCTGCAAGCCTTATGACCGAAATGGAGAAGGTAGCATCTGTATTTCGTGAGGGACAGTGGATTGTTGTTAATCAGTTCTAAAACATACCTAAATGATGTTATTTGATCATGTAACTTGCCTGCAAACAGAAAACAGGGGATCCAACTAGCTTTCCCGAAGACATCGAAAATTTGGTTGACAAGAAGGGAAAATTTAAAATACAGCTAAGGAAGAAAAATGAAGAAAATGCTTACAAAGGCGGGATTTCCCTAGGAGTAGTTAGTATGATTCGAGATCCCACTGTTTTGGCAATGTATGAAGGAAAGCAGATGCAAATGGGAACAAATGAAAGTGGCGAATGCACTCCAGAAAAGGTATTGGAAAATATCACAATTTTTTTCAATTTCAGATTTGTTTAAACAAATAAATGAAAGTGCAACTAAAGCTATTACCTAAATGTACGGCTAAGGTGAATCATTCTATTTCAGATTTGTTCGAATGCAATGGGAGAGAACGACAACTCTATAAGAGAGAAGTCAACTGTTACAAAGGGAAAGGGGAAACGCATTTCTGCTGAGAAGGAGGTACAGAGCGAATGTACCTATCATGTTTATAACATATTGAATATTGAATACTAAATTGGAGATTCTGAAAAGCCTTATTTCTTATACATCTAGGTCACCGAACCTATCGAGCTCCCGGATTCACCTATTGCATCTACTCAAAGAGAGGTGGTTCTTGAACTGAATGATGAGATCAAAAGAAATCTCAATGATGAGTTTTCAAGCAATGGCAATGGGAAGAAGCTGAAAATCAAAATCAAGCAAGAACCACTTTAAGTGGCGTTGCAAGCTGAATATTATGTTACTGCTATTTGTGTTGACCTTTGATAAATAACATTACCAATTATGGCAGTGTGTATGCCTTGGTTTGGCAGTATGGATGCCATGTCTAAAAAACTATGTATTTTGCCTTGGTGATAGACTTCTAAACCCTACATTTTGCTACTCTATGACTAACAATTAAATGGAAGTGTTGGTCCCAGTTTAGTAGACTAACGATCAGCTAGATGAACATCATCGATAGACAGAAGAGAAGGATTTCATATAATGATATAAGATTTATCGAGAACAGTGAAACCTTCTTTCTGTAGTATCGAGAAGTAAATTTGGCAGCGTAAGGCTAATGTGTATTGATCGATATCGGTACCTGTACACAAGGCGCGTATTTATAGGCGCTGTACAGGTTACCGATTTAGGTAAACCTTGGAAGTTGGGCCAAGGCCTTTTTGGGCCTTATTCCCTTTACCTTATTTGCTACATAATAAATACTAAATACTAATCTAATACCATAAATGGTATAACTAGTCTACTTTATTTAAACAAGACATTACAGACAAACTTGACCCACAATAAAAGTTCTAACAATCTCCCCCTTTGTGGTCAAGTGCCGTCTTGCTGGGTTTCTTCACTTCTGAGCTTTGTAGTAGTTCTTTCTGAGATTAAGTGCGTGCTCATAGTTTCTGAGTGAGTTTCTTTTATCAAGTTGTTTCTGGATAGCTTGTAGAATTCTGTCCATTCTGTGTGCTTCCTTTAATTCGGCATCTGTCGCATCTGCATACTGTTGCTGTCTTTCTTTGAATGCTTCTCTGATCGGTTGCAGCTTTTCCTTTACAATCTTCAGGGTTCCGTCACAGTACTTGTTGATTTCATCAATGAATAGCATACGTTTCTCACCCTTATGATTTAGATAGATAAGCGTGATTGGTCTATCAAAAATGTAATACTCAGGGAAGTCCTCAAGTTCTTGTCCATACAGCTTTGGCTTTGTGAGATTTGTCTTTGGCATGTTTGTTTCAAGCGCCATCTGAAGATCATGAGAGGCAAAGAATTTGATTTGTCTGAGCATAAAGCGCTTGAGTGCATCCAGCCCATTTTGTGTAGTTGTGTCGCGAGTGCCCGGAATTTCTTGAAATGCAAGATACATCTGATATATGTCATCCATTTTTAGCATATAGAGATCATTTTCCTTGCACGTGAATTCTGTTCCGTCAGACCGTTGTAGATGGTAGACAGAGAGTTTGATGTCTTGGGAGTTTGTTTCACCCACGTTGAGAATAGCCCAGACTGGGTCTTTGGCAGTTTGAAGTTCGTGTTGCCAGACTTCTCTCTGTTGTCCCATATAGTGATGACTGAGTAGAAATAGCTGTCCGCCCTTGTTTTGTCCTCGTAGATGGTTAAGACCACAGATCTTCAGTTCATCCAATTCTCTGACCTTATCCTCTTTTCGCCAGATGTTTTCTCTGATTTCTTCTTGGAAGGGGGCGTTGATGTCGATCTTTTCCCAGGGCTTCTCATTTCTGGGCATTTGAGCCGCTGTTTGTCTAATGATTGACTCAAGCTCCTTGGGTGGTGTCTCGTAGTTTTCTCCCTCCTTGAGTTCGTTTCGATCAAGTAGAATCACGTCAGTGGCGCAGTTGACTAAGAGATCTCTGAGGTATGTTCTTTGCTGTGCTTCATCTACATCTGTCCAGAGTTCAGACCATTTGTTATGCACCAGCATTTCCTCAAGTTCATCGTGCATTTGATCATTGTAGTAGCTGGAGGAAGCCTGTTGCTGCTGTGGAGACACGTCTGGCGTAGCATCGGGATCCTGGTGAGACTTGCAGGGATCCTCAATTATCTCAACACGATGCTCTTGCGCAGAGACCAGACCTCTATACTTCGTTACATGCGGCCAATCCTCCCTTGTCTGAAAAAGTGAAACACCGGGATCCTCAGGATTGCCCGTTGACATCAGTTTCGAACTAGGTTCTAACTGATGGCCTGAGTAAGAAGATGTACTCGTGGTAGCATCATCAGGACTTCCATTCCGTCCTTGGTTAACATCTATAGGAGATGCACCTCGGGATGTTATGTCTAGCTCGACCATGCTAGAGAGAGTGGCTAGGGATTTATGGCTAGCTGAAGTAGTGGGTTGCTCATTGGTAGAGGTAGATGGTTGGTTTGGCTTTGACGGTTGGCTAGTAGAAGCAGCATGCTCAAGTATCCGCTGGCGCTTGTTCTCCCCCTCATGAGAATCCGAATCATCAGGATCCTCATGTGAACGTTTAGCGCCACGAAGACTGTCACGGCATGTGTTCTGTGTATCTAGAGCATGGAGAAGGGCTTTTTGAAGAGGGGTGAGGTTGCCTTCTTCCACGTCTAGTATACGGTCGTAGATCTCAGCTACAAGATCCTCGAAGGGTATGGTTGTTAGGTTGGGTTTGGTCATTGTAGGGGAGAATACTAGTTCTGTATCCTGGGTTCCCCTTGATGTGGATGGTTGTTGGTTTTCTATAGTTAAGGGTTTGGAAACAGGTATGGAAATGGTTGGGGGCTGTGTTGTCTGGGGTTTGGATGGTATATTCTGAACAACTGGGGTACTTCCAGAGTCTTGTGCATTAGCGGTTATTGCTTCATGCACCCATGGCTTAATGGTAGACTCTAGAAAGCTGTTCAGATATACGAGAATGTCTTCGGGCATAATGGCACCAGTTACGGGGGTTGTAACTGTTGTCACAGCATCAGTGAAGATAGCTGATGTGTGGCCTGCGTTCAATGATTGAGGCATTGTTGGCGTAGCAGGGCTTCCGACCATCATAGTTTGCACTCCGGTCGTTGCATTCAGGGTGAGTGCACCTGTATGTGCAGTGAATAGTGTAGGTGTCCTAGAAAAATTCAAAAATGTAGGAATGGTGACACCTAGACTCGAAGTGATAGAACGGATGGGGGTAGTGGTTCGGGGCTGTTGACCACTAAGTCTCTCAGCAGATTCGGAAGGAATCAGTGAGGTCGGTGTAAGTTCCCCTTGAGATATTGAAACTCCAGTCTGTTGGGAGACTGGAGAGTGGATGGGAGATGGCTGTGCATGCGCAGTTGAACCAGATGCTGCGACTTCTACCCGGGAACTGACAAGGTCAGCTCCTGCTCCTAGGGGCGTGGTTCGGTCTATAGTGACGAAGGTGTCACAGTCATCGTACAGTGCCAGCTCCTCCTCCACTGCACTCTTCTTTCTGAGCCTCTTCTTAGGCTGTGATGATGCATGCTTTTCATTGCGTTTCTTGGAGCGCTGCTCACTAATGATGATCCCTTTGAGTGGTCGGGGTGTGAGTGCAGCCTCAATATCTTCTGATGAGGAGTCGGAGTCTATCGGAATGGCCTGTTTACCAGCTCTCTTCCTGTTGCTGATCAGGACTCCCTCCATGTCATCATCATCATCTGCATCATCATCATCATCATCTCTTCGTTCATTCCCTTTGGCCATGCTATCGGAGGCCTCACCACCAGCCTTATTAGAAGGGGCCTGGCTTGATGGTTCATCGGCAGTGTCCTCAGCATTGGTAGGGTGGCCCTCAGCAGTCTGGGTCCTCTCGGAAGAGTTAGCAGACTGATCATCATTAGGCCGGGTTGCCACTGGTTTCTGTGGCGGGGCTCTCTTCTTCTTACCCTCACTTGGCTTGGTCCCCTGGGAAGGTCCAGCTGGGTTTTGCTGAACCATAGGGACCGTTCTCTTCAGCGACTCTTTGTAGTCAATGACTGCCTTATCCCTCGGGTTTGCTAGATCAAGCAGTGAGTCCGGGATAGGCAGTGCTTCAGCCTTATTGCTGTCCCTTTGGAAGTATTTGAGCTTGGGAGCGGTGAAGTGATCATCTCCCTTACGCTTTGGAATAGTAGGGGTGGCCTCCATCATGTTATGGATCATCAATGCCAACCACCTAGCGTAAGGGATTGTACTACCCTTGTTGTTCTCCTTTATCTTCACCTGGTCCATCAGCTCTGTCCAGAAGAGCTGGGCCATGTCGTACTGTTTGTCATATGCGATCCCATGGAAGATTTGTAGGATCTGCTTGTTGCACTTGTCATGTCCGGCGTGCTTAGGAGATAGACACTTGTTCACCAGGCCGAACAGACTCTTCCATGGGTGGGGCAGGTTTGAGATGGTGAAGTTTGACAGCAGGGGCAGTGGGCTGTCGTATCCAAGATCTTTCATCCCCTTGATCAACTCTTCGTTTGAGGGGAGTGATGCATAGTTTTGGTGCACAGGGAGTCTCAGAGTTTCCCTGATTGTAGAAGGTGTTAGCACCACTCTCTTGTCAGCTAGTTTGGTCATGATCTTTGACCGATCCTTCTTGCTCTCAGTTCGCATGCAGCCCCAGAATTGCTGCAGGTATACCTCTGGCACCGGTTTGGCCTCATTGAATGCAAACCAGAGGTAGTGCTTCTGTAGAATGGAGAGAATGACCGGGTCCTGACATTTGAAGAGCTTCAGGTCTAATTGAAAGTTGTTGTCATAAAGTGGGACCCAGTTCTCTTTTGGGTACAGTTCATTGCTTGATTGTGCATTCCTGTCTGTTCCTGACATTGTTAACTGAAAGAATTGGGTCAGCACAAAATGTTCATTTGAAAATTTTATTTTTGTTCTGTTTTTGGAATTTTTCAGATCAGGTGTGTACAGGTGGGACATCGAAACTATTCTAAGTGTAAACCACGAGAACCAGCTTCTCGAGGTTTGAGTATCGAGAAGTAGGTTCTCGATGTTTAAATACCGAGAAGCTCTTCTCGATACTCAAATATCGAGAACTTGGTTCTCGTGATGAAAGTATCGAAAAGTCCTTCTCGAGACTTAAGCTGCGAAAACCCTTTCTCGATGTTGAATATCGAGAACCTCTTCTCGGTATTTCAAACTTCGAGAAATAGGTTCTCGGTATTAAACATCGAAAAGACCTTTTCGAGGTTTAATATCGAGAAACCGAACTTCGAGTTTTGAAATATCGAGAAGGTAATCTCGAGTTCTAATCATCGAGAAATTGGATTCTTCGAGTTTTTACTCAGATAGATGTCGAGAACCGCCTGCAAGAACACACAATACATAATGATAACTAAATTTTAGTTTGAAAGCTTTTCGATGTCAAATTTCCGATTTTGAAAAAGTGGTTCTCGATGTACAAACTCGA